CGAGCCCAAGCAGCGCTTCCAGGAGATGTTTGCGTTCCAACCAAAGTGGCTGCTCTCCCAAATGGAGCCGTACCTCGCGTATATCTATCGGCGCGTCATGCATCCGTTGTCTCATCGTCGCGCTGTAGGCCGCTGGTGACCAAGAACATGACGCAGGCGTCGCTGCTGCTCAAGTATACGCGCGCATCCCGCGTGCCCAACTCGACCGAGCGGCTCTACTCCAAGCGGTAATCATTCTTCTTGCGGACTCGAATAATAATACAGCTCTCCGGTGACTCGTTGCTTTGGGATCTATACCGCCGCCCGTCTTGGACTCGACCGACAGCACGTCAACCTGTCGGCAAGAGCATCCATTATGGTGTTGCAGTCAGCACGCCGATGGAGCTTCTTTGGCTTGCAAGGACGTCGACGTGCACGTCAAGGAGACGACCACGATTGACGCGCAGTCTCCCGTACTTTGAAAGCGATTAGGGTGCTTGTCTGTGCGAGACGTTGTGGAAGAGACTTGCTTGGAGTTTGGCCGCGTCAGCAAGAAGGTCAGGAGCCACCCGAGTCGCACCTCCCGCTCGCCCACATGGCCGAGTTGCAGCTACCAAGGCTCACGATCCTCGACGACCTCCAAGCGCCTGACCATCTTTGCGCGTGTGTCCGCAACAAAAGCATGTCAAAAACCGTCATGGAGGGTCGGAGGACAACATCAAGGCATAGCTCTTGCATGCGGCGCTCCACGCCGCGGTCGCGAACTCGTCGCGCGCGTTCGACATCTGCCGTGGCAGGCACTGACGCGCTGTTGGATGAACAAAGAATGAAGGTTCGAGTCAGATAATGTCTCTTTTGTCGAACTCAGCTCGTAGTAGTTTAAACGAACGGGTACTCCAGCCGTCCTATTGCTATCTAGGCTAGGCGAGTTGCAGCGAGTGCACGGTGCCGTCGCGGTTCACACCGTAGACAACGTTGTCGACGACGGCAAAGTCGGACCACTCCCCGACGTACTCTGTCCAATTCCACGGAACCACAGTGGCGATCGTGGCGCACGACAACTTGTACATCGTCGTGACGCACACGGCGTGGCCATCCGTGCGCACCGTCGTTCCCTTCCCGACATACTGGCCGTTCGTAATGGTCTTGTTGGCAGCCACCAAGGTGGCGTACTCGACATCACCAGCAAAGGCAACGAGCGCGTGCGTCTTGGCGACGACCAACTTGGTGAAGTACTCACGGAAGATGGTCCATCCTTCGAGCGGACCAAAGCTGTCGCCTTGTTTCGTCGCGCAGCGAAACGAGTCATCGCCCAAGCACAGCGTGTTGCCGTCCGTCGCGAATCTCAACGTGATCCGACCCGTCTCTAGCGTCGTCGTCGCCGATGTCGTGAGGTTGGTCACGGCAATGCCGGCTCGGTCGTCGACGGCCGAGTAGAGGACACCGTTCGCGCACGTAATGTAGCTCGCGAAACGAACGTCCGCTGTCGGCCACGCAGCGAGTGGTTGACCAGGCGTCCACACATGCACCGTGCCGTCCTTGCGGAAGCAGAGGCCTTGGCTGTCGCCCGACACTTTGGAAAAACCAGCGCCGAAGTCCAACGGAGCCCATTGCCCGGGCGTAGCCGTCGTCGGAACCGGCGTAGCAGGCGCGTTGGTTGTCATCGGGATCGGCGTCGTAGGCGCGTCGGTCGGGCCCGTCGTTGTCGCCGGGGTCGGTGTGATCGTCGGGGTGACGGTGCAGCCAACATGCTCGCCGGAGACGCTGGCAGCGGCGATGGTCGCACACACGGCGAGGCGCAGGAGACCAGCCGCCTTCATGAGGACAAGTTGACAACTGAAAAATGAACACCACCTTCGATCGGCGTCTTCAAATCCGATGGTGCCGTCTTGAAAGCGCGAGTTGCATACGTCGACACCATGTGATGGCAGCAACGACCCACATGTTGTTGCTAGTCTAGTCTTTTTCCTGGAGAACCATGCATTACTACGACATGTGGACTACCGTTCCGGTGCGCGATGGCGCCGAGATGTGAAGCTACATCTATCAATACATCATCTACATGGTAGTGGTATGTTTTCGAAGAGCACTGGATTCCATGGCGGCAAGCTCTTGGTAAAAGTTTTAACCAACACTCGTAATGTGTACAAGTAGTGTGCTGCGTACTAGTATGTGAACCGGTCGCAGGCTACATGTATTACAACGGAGCGCGGCAACAGTGTCTTGAAACCTTATTAGGATCTAGGACACATTGGTCCATGGTCCTTGCATCCGAGTGCGACTACGGTACAGCACACCAACTCTTGCGGTGGGACGTTGCGACGACGTCCTGGTCGCATGCTGCAGGAGATGCAGTAGGAGACCGGGACAGCATGCGTCATGCGGGACGATGTAATGACTTGTGTCAATAATGGATGTTGCATTTGGCGTTTGGATGGTGCACGACCAACATCAGACACCAGCCGTCGCGCTTCTTCACGCCCCGGCGCGCTCCCGGTGACCAGACACTTGCGTTTGAAATGCCCACGCGGTCCATTTGATTCTATTTTCTGATAACCAAGCGGACGGAGGCGAAGCAGATGGTCATTGGTTTTCACTTGGCGCCAAAATGACGATATCGAGGCGTTCGGCTCCGAGCTCGACCGTTTTGAGCTTGCATGGAGTGCGAGGATGTAGAGGGCTTGGTGAGGACAATGGCACCATGAGATCGACACGCTGACCTCGGACACGATCGAGTCCTTCGCGGCCATCTTGGTTCAACCTCGAGAAACGTCGCGCGGGCTAATATTTAGTGGTAGTATTTAGTACTGTACCGACCCGCCACGTCCAGCAGGGTGAGGCCCACCCCGGCTCGATAGATTGGTCGTCCGCACCTTTCCTCTTTCATTACCCACAAATCATTAACC